GTGGAGTGTTCATTCTCAGGGACCATGACAACAATCTTTCAAAATGTTTTGCAAATTTTCTGTTGTTGGTGTTTCTTCTACATCGTTCAAGTCCTACAATGTACATATTTTGTCGATAAGAATTACACAGTTAAAAAAATATTAACAAATACATACTTCTGTTTCATATTGATGCTCGACTTTCATTTATCCAAACATTTTCGCGTAAATTGTGTCCCCGGCAGTTCCTTTTAAAATAATCTTAAATCATTTCGACACACACGCACTTACCTGTCAATAACAGCAGACCAAAAAGCACAAATATCTTAATATCCATTACAATTGATATATCAGGGCAATAGCAGTTGGAATCTACATGCAGATCAAGTGCTTTGCACTGGCTTCCAATCTTTGCTTGGGAACTTTCCTCTTTGCGCTAGTAATATCTGAGCTACGTTCGACGTATAGAACCTTGCTGGTAACTGCTTTCTCGAACAGTTGGGTGTTTCAGGTGGCATTAGAAAACATAGGCACCATCTTTCCGTATTACTTTGGCGTAATCTAATACCAGTCCCTGGCTATCTGCACATGGAGGAAATTAGAAATGCTGCTCCAAGCATCGAAGCATTCTTGGTAATAGTTGTGCGTATGACTAAATGCATTAGTCTTATATAACCTGACTGTTTATATAGTCCCTAAAGAAACTGTAAAGGACATTGGGTGGACATGCATTGCAATACTGATAAAAATGAATAAGTAAATAAAACGTAAGCTTGCCAATTGGGGGATATCACTAATATAAGGTACCAGGGAGGTTGTTGTTGTTATTCTTCTTCTTCTTATTATTATTATTATTATTATTATTTACATTGACAAAAATGTCGATACAAATCTTATCGGTGGCTTTAGTGGTATAGTCATGATTGCAATCCCTGGAATCAAAGTATGAGGCATCCCCATTTCTCTTGTTAACAACCCTCAGCATAGTTTGTTTTGTCTACGTTATAATCGAGAAAATACTCAAACAGCTTAATACTCAAACCAAATAGGCATTTTACAGATTAGATATCTGTTCTGAAGAATCTTCAAGGTGGCCTGCGCTGTAGTTTTGACTATGAAACTCAAACACGATGCATGGAAAACTTAATTAAAGACCGTTATTAAACGAATCGCTTTCACGTGCACATACAAGCGATTCCATAAAAATTAATTTGCATGACTGTGGATTATGTTTGTGATGTGTACAGTTTGTATAACATAACGATACGTTCTTGACAGCCAAATTCACCACTGCATTCCCCAAATAGCTCATTGCTTCCTTTCCATGAACGGAAACGGCGGGTAACACAACGTATGAATATGGAAAGCATATGTTTGCACGCAAAAATCCTAGAATACTCGCAGGTACGAAAAAAGTTCATTTATACCGAACGACTGTCACAGAAGACTCTTTATCTATTTTTATAGTGACCCAACGTAGGAGATATAAAGTTTGCAGAAATCATTATCTGTGGTAACATCCACATGACAAAACCATGTCTTAATTGGTTATGATACTGCTATTCTCGTAAAAATGTCAAGAAAATAAGCTTATCGAATTACTCATTGGTCTCATGAGGAAAGGGAACCCGAAATTTTCTCTTCATAAGTCAGATTAAGATAAAGCATAGTTCATTAAAGAAAGATAATGATTTAAAGCAATGTATTTTGGTGTTGCATTCATGATAATTTTCATATAGATGTCAATAAAATAAGTTTTACATGGTAGCGCGTAACGCATTGGTCTTATTAAACAAGAGAAACACCAAACGTACCCATTAATCCTCATTTTATGTTAGATTTGGATAGAAAGTTTCACAGCTAAAATAAGGAAAAAAAGGGCAAATATTGATTGTGTTAGAGTGACTTACTAAATCAGTAGCTCTACAACATCAGGCAAGTTGAAATTTTTTTAAAATGTGTTGATTACTTTACAATATACTCATATATGCACATACTGAAACATTTGGCACATGTGAAAATGATTCTTTGGATGGTTGCAATAAATCTACCACGTGGTCATGCTATTTTGACATATGAGAGATCCAGAGGATCCAAACAAACAGTGTTGCATGGACAAAATCAACCTCCTGAAGAACTTTGAACTTTTAAGGGATAACAACTGTTAATTTTGTCCAAAATAGATTTTCCTGGGGTAAACGACAATTTTACCATACTTACCAATAGTTAATGAATCCGTTGTGACATTCAAAGTTCGTCCCGTTTTTTTTTTTTTTCAATAATCTCTTTAAAGATTAGAACAGAGGACAGCCATCTATGGACGTCACGTACAAATTCCAGAATAATTGCCACGACTGTCATGGTGGTAAAATAGAATTTATTATATTTCTATGAGTTGTTTACAATATACTTATTGGGAAATGCGTTATCATTTTAAGTTCTCACTTATGAAGCTTTTCAAATAGCCTATTAATAAATAAATAAATGATTGAAAAAAATTGTGAAAATATGTCAAACGGCTACGATTATGTTCAGTGAACGTAAATGATCGTTTTTAAAGTGACTGCTTTAACTTTGCTCTGTACCCTATTTTGTCAAGAATTTTGAACACCCCTTTACATATCTTGCACCTAAACCCCCTTCATCTAAGGGTCAAGTACAGCGACGTTTTATTCTATGCAACTTTATATTATCTTATGTATACATTATTTGGCCTCGTGTGCTGTAGGAATAATAGATAAAATATCAGTTGCGAGGGATATCACAAAAGGTGTGTGATTAGTTTTCTCTCAGTGCAGATAAATTTAAATCGAAAAGATAAAACAAGTCGGATTTTAAAAATAATTTACAGGGTGACCCCACTCACCCCCTCCCCCCAAAAAAATTATAATAATATTTTGGTACCTAAATAGCAGAGCGTTGCCCATTCTTTCTTCATGGAGAGGGATATCACGATATAAAAACGTGAAGACACCGTGGGATAGTTGGAACCATTAGCAGTGCAGCACTGTCCCAATCTCCCCCACATAATGTTTGTGCTAATATTGCATTAAAATTTTTTGTGATTTTTATTTTCTATTTCTTATGTTTATGTTTTTACGTTTTCTTTCTAAAGAATAAATCAAGAAAATGCACATGAAAAACAAATAAGCACGCCTCAACATTTCAAAGAAAGATGTTTCTGGGAAGCTACGCAGGGCCATTTCCATGGTGGGGCTACCTGAATAGATCCGATGCCTCTTAATATTCTATCCCAAACGTGTTGGATAGGTATTAAAAAGTAACAGTAAATCACGGCTTGACAAACGTACATGGCGGACATAGGGGAAGCAAAATATTTTGTGAAATAAAAGGAAAAAGTTGGCTACAGTCATCGTAGCCTTTACATATATTGGCATAGCAGCATGCGGCCACGAATGAAATTAAGACCCCCGCGGGGATCTGCAGGAGAGGACTGGTTTACTACTCTATACCGGAAGCTAGCTCATTGATGAAATTAAACAGTGTGGCTGTTTTTGTTGCTGTTTTTCCTTTTAATAAAGGAAATTTGGTGTTTAATCTTTTGTAGTTTGGTTATTGTTATGTCTATTTGAAAGAACGCAAACGTGTAGATATAAAAATAAAGGGCGAACCGCCATAACCCATAGTGAATCGAAGGCAATGTCAATTGAGAAATTATCAATATATGTGTTGGATAATTAATTCTGACACTCTAATTGTCTTATAATATTAAATAACCCAAAAGTCCCAACTTACCCACCTAGTTCCAACTTACTTCGCAGTTGGGGCAAGTTGGAATATTTGGTTAGGCATGTTTACTCACATGTTTCTGATAACCGAAATAAGCCATCGGATGTTTTGTATCAAGAAATGTGTGGCAAATATCTGACTATTGTCAAGTGCTGTAGCTCTTCCTTCCGACCTTCGACAGCCGAGTTATAGTCCAAAATGTAAAAAGTATTCCAACCCACCCGCTCTCCCAGTATGAATTTCACGCCACATTAGATAACGCGCGAAAGCATGCGCAGAAGTGTGATGGGGGAGGAGATCTCCGAGTCAAAAGGTACTTGAGGTCATTGCCTGTAAACGAGGAGGCAAAGCTGACTCAGGACAAGGTTGAACTCCGGACTGGCTGAAACACAACACACTGAGAAAAGCAGAGATTGAGCGACCACTTCGGTTTTAATACGTCGTGATAAACGGAACGTAGGCCTACCTATAACCACAATAGTGACGCTTCCAATTTTAAAGATGTCTGGGAAATTCGAAGAGGTTTTAGAAAAAGTCGGTAAGTAAAGCATGTCCATAACTTCCCTGGCCAGTGAAAAAAGAGAAAAAGAAACAAATATAGATTGGCGGTTTACAATCATAAGCACAAAAAAAGGCTTTTTAACAAAATGAAGAAAAACAAAGGAAGTTAGAAACATGCAATTAGATAATTTAAAGCTGAGATCGTTTTGTCCTGAGACTGTTAGATGACCACACGCAATAGTACAATTTACTCTCGTTTGTTTACTCCAATTCAATCAGCGTTAAACACTGCGTCGGTGACTTGTTGTATTACCAGTGAGTTCTTGTCGAACGAATGGAATAATAACACTTGGTTCATTGTGCGTGATGCTGATCTTGTTCTCCATGAGACATACAATTGTACATCAATCGCCACACCTTTGACCAGGGTGAAATTGCTTGATTTCTAGTTATTAAAGATAAACAAATACACCGTTTTCCAATTAATGTGGGTCGGGCGAAAGAATTTCTCAGGCTTGAACAGAACGAAATTAATACTGACTGAATGAACTCTGCTCGATCAGCATATATATAGTGCAGCACGTGGCGCATGAGGGGCGGGGTTGTTATATATTGTCTCTCAATAAAATCCTCGGTGCTTTATGCAAATCTTATCATACATTGGGTGGAGGTGGGGTCTTATTGTACTTATCAATAAAACGACGAAATATTGATATCAGCAACGCATTTCCATTAAAAAAAAAACACACGTTATGTCAAGGTCAACAGGTGTATGCTCGCCTTGTACACTGATAAGCAAGAGCATAAGTCCAGTTAACGGTACACTAAATATTTTCATTGGCCTTTTTTCCTTCTAATACATGCATTTTATTCAAATAGTGGTAAGTCCTCACTATAACCGTCCCACTTAAAGCTCATTCCCAATCAAACTATCGTTTTATGTAGATCCAAATCCGCGTGGACTCTCGCTGAATGCAATCAGATTAACTCACCTCCTCTTGACTTTGAGTGGAATACAGAAAAGCTGGTGGCTTCACGAGCACTAAGTACGCTGGATACAAGAGGAGGCGCGATAATCTATTAATCTGATTGCGTCAATGCAAGACACCCTTCAACAAGCGAGAACCGTAAGCAGGTGTGTGGCATGATGAAGCCTGCAATTTCCCTCCAAGGCAACTCTTGCAAATACTGTGAGATACATGTATATTTTAAGAATCTCATGGTAAATGGTCCCATCCAACACAACAGAGGGCTCAGAGCTGGTCATGCATCATTGAAATGGTAGGAGGTTGGGGAATTGTCCGATAAAGGGGGAGTGCCCTAGAATCTCGTTCCATATACTTACTCCATTACTCCAAGTAACCCTGCGGTTCTACTATCCTGTCACACCGGTTTTGGCGGCAGACAAGGAGTGCTCTGTTTTGATGAGTGCGTAACGACCTTGTGGCCTGTTGACAGCACAAACGCTCAACACAAAAGAACCACCCATATATAATTTGTTAAATGATCAAGAATTTTGTATAAATGTATATTTTATTCATACTTTTTGCACCAGACTGACCTGGCGAAAAAGTAGCAGAGTAAATACTGACACACCCTAGACTATCAGTTCCACATCCACTGGATCTACTTATCCAACTTTTTACTGTATAGATATACCGGGGGTAGACCTTTGTCGTGAGAGTAGTTGTTTTTAAACCCTAGGGCTTACTAGAAGAGTGGCCGAGGTATATTTAGCCAAAAATATTTTCAGTCTTAGTTGAGTTTTTCATTATGAATGAAATTTGTCGTTGTTTAGATGCATGGTTTTACTGTATTAACGCACTCTGGGTAATGTCTTAGGGTAAAATGCGGCGACAACAATATCGATGGTTCAATTATCAGGACTGACCATTACACCCCATTTCCATAGATTTTTAGATCGATCTATCCCTGTGGGGAGTCTCACTAGATTACTGTCAGCTTGGCCGGGTTAAGCGTCTGTCCCGCCTACTAAAGGCTGTAAGGGGGTAATTAACTATGGTGCCCGCTCGACTGACTGCAATTTAGCGTGAACCCCCAGGGAGTTAGGTCGATCTAAAACTTAATCTCTGGGAAAGCACCCTTAGGTATAGAGTGGGCTGGTTCGACTCGGGCTCAGGAGTACAGTGAGCAACTTGTGAAAGCCCGCTTGGTAGTTTGACCAAGTGTCTCAAGCAACAGCGACAGAATGAAGAATATGATTTTTGTGATCAAAGCGCACGGGTTTTTTTATACTGGTTTGACCATCATCCATGTGATGACCAATACCCGTGTCTAATTTTCTAGTCTAATTTGGTTGTCATTATTCTTGGACTCATTTTTATAGATTGTTTTTTTCTATGTTGTTGAACCATACTTTCCTGAAATATCTTATATGTACGTCGACCGTAGCTTCACCTTACAACTCAACAATTTTTCTATTATTATTTACACGCCTGTAGCATCCAGGCTACAGTTTACGGGTGTTCTTGGAGATTACATCATTAAATAAACAATTAGCGTTGCAAAACAAATTCTTCCCGTGTACTGAATGCGTAGAGATCTTCATAGCAGATGTACCGTAGGTATGATGTTTTCACATTATTTTCAATTGTTTCATTATCTTCCCTTTTCCTTAAGAGTTTAATTATGGGTTCTTTTGATTAGGTATTGGTGAAATAGGCATAAATAAAATCATAACAACATGTCGATTACCAGGATTACATCAAATGTGTTAAGATATGTACGTTGCCAAATAAGTCCGTCTTATATGTTTGTTCTTCTGAATAACTGCTCCATTTAACTCCGTTTTTACTACAAGTACGACCTATGCACTGACGTACAGAATAGAATAGGCTTATTATTTTAGTATTGTGATAAGGGTAGGTCTATGCCTCCGGCCCCGTGGACCCATTTATCGCCATACGTCATATTTTTGAAGGTGAACAGTTTATAGTAAAATAAAAATAACAATGAAAATAGATATGACAGGTCGACTGTGAATTAAGTAAATAATTACGGTCAGTATATTACTGACTTCAAACAAGCGTTTGTGACACGAGTTTGCTCACGTTAAATGCCATTTCATTTTGAAGGACAGGTCTCTTTTCTTCTTTATTTCGAAGGCTGATCTTGAGAATAACTGGCCTAGTGATTCGTGACGGTTTACCCTCTGCCAGGGTCACAGATTGATTTTTTTTGCTAGATGTTACAGATATGTCTCTTGCTAATTCATGCCACTTTTCACCACTGTGAAAGATAAGTGCACTTAATAAATGTGCGGTGCTGGCGGTACGTGTTGGTTATAAGCAGATTATGAACAATCTCTTTACCAAGGGTGCTTATGAGATTGGCTGCTACTTCTGCTACTCACTTGCCCACCTTCGGGTAGGATTAATGAGCACATTCATATACTGGTATATACTGGCATGTATAGGTTTACATGAGTATCTGTTGATGATTTGTTGAAACTGTTCTAAACGATATTTTAAGCTGAAATAAAGGCCATTGAATACTGGTTTATTAATGTTTGTCACATTTTACTTTAAAGTCTCATTTAAGACTGACCGATGTTTTTATACGAAATAGAATTTAAAATTAAAAATCCGTAGCTGTTATAAAAATTATTGACACCTCGTTGTCGTCAACATGATTATTGGTCGCGTTTTTCTCACCATAACTGGTTCAGGCCCGTAGCCAAGGGGGTTCGGGAGGGTTCAAAAGACCCCCCCTTCCTTTTGCTGGGAAAAGGTCCCTTCTGGGTAAAATTTTATCTAGGTACATGAAGGTTTTATGGTAAAAGGGCCACTTTTTCAGAAAAAGAACCCCCCTTTTGAAATTGCTGGCTACGGGCCTGTGGTTGTGGGTTGCGTAACTTCTATCTTGTCAATTCTCTCTTGCATCTCTTTCATTGATGCTAGCATAGAATATATCTTGGATCCTAGATTCTAGAAACAGCAGGATTATCTGACCCACATCTCCGACATTTTTATTTTGATTTTGAATTAAGCTAATCGGAAAGTAGCTTAGTTCAGTTAGTAACTGGGCTAGATTTGGATCTGGCCTGTGACATTTACTAGTACAGTTGTTTATCATTCAGTGATGTTAAGAGACCAGCAATGCGGGCTGATTTTCTATTTATGTCAAGGGTTTTATGTCAAGCGCCTTTGTTTTGATATCATGTTAATTAGAACTTCCTCTTTAAATCGATCTAACTTGGAGTCACACATTTTCTTATATGTTTATTTAATAAGATAAAATTTCATTATACTACCTTTGCAATATATATTGAATATATTGAATGCACACATAGAAATGATTAGAACACATACATAAATTATGAATCTCGCACATTACCAGTTTGCGATATACATGCATGCCTGGTTTTCATTATTATGGATCTTGTCAATCCTAATTCGCCCTCATTTGCTAGAAATGAAGCAATACAGAGTTATCATTCTCAATGACCAGCACTTCCACCGTCTTTTCACCTACTTCAGCTTTTTTTTATGCCGGGTGCATAGCAAGGAGACGACAGGTACCACAGGTACCATTTTTAAAATAGTTTTTACGACCCGGTCATGGTGGTCGAACCTATGACCTCCTCCATTAGAGCCATCCGGTCCAGTTCTTCGTGATGTCTTGTTTTTCATTAAGTTCTGTCACTACCGTGATAACTTTGTCTAGTTAAACCGATAACACAGTAACTGTGTTTATTGCTTCATTCATTTTTTTTGCGATTGCTTTGTTTCCGAAGGGGAAAACGCAAACGCTCGCAACACTGGATACGAAATTGGCTCCTCCTCTTCCTTTGTATGCTTCATGGTTGAGGACTCTATTTGTTTCATTCAGGCATTCACTCGTCGTTTTATTTTCGGGCGGGCTCTCTTTCTGAACCCCCCTTTCGATTGATTCGATGTACGCTCCCTATCCCTTCCTCCACTCCCCTTACTTTTTCATTTGACCTTTTTATATGTAGTGTTTTCAGTAAAACCTTCGAAGATAATTGAGCGTATTGCTGTACATGAGCTAGTATAGTATACAGGTACATGTGAGTAGGAACCGCACGCCACATTAGACAACGGCCGAGATACATGCGCAGAAGTGATTTGTGGGAGTTTCTCACCAGCATAACGTATTGTGGGGGCTGTTTTCGTAACGAGGAGGTAACTGTATGTGTGTAAGTTAGGACGGACCCCTCAGGACAGGGCAAAACACACCGAACGTCTGGATAGGCAGAGGTTGAGCGAGATTTGCTTCGGTTTCCACACGTCGTGATATACGGAGCGTAACTAATCAAGAGATCTGCCCAATAATTATATAACAAAGCGTCCAAGTTAAAAGATGTCTGGGAAATTCCAAGAGGTTTTAGAAAAAGTTGGTAAGTGAAGCACGTCCATTACTTCTGTGGTCAGTGAGATCATAGAATAAGAAATCTAGACAGACTGCACAACGACTGCACGGCGGTGTACAATATGTACAATAACAAGTTTTTCGAATAGATGGTATAAATATAACGAAATGCTGAAACAAAAAAGTTAATCCTATGCTGTTAGGTGGTATAATTAAACGCCGATATAATTTTGTCTGTTACATGAACACACGCAATACAATACGGTTCATTCAGTTTAAACCTTTGCCGGTGACCTGGTTGTATAAGCTGTGAGGCCATATTAACGCGCCATCTGTCGAAAGAATTGTGAATAACAACAAAAAATCCCTTAGCGTTGTGCCAATCATGTCTCATTCAGTCATCAATTGTCACACCTACCAGTGTGAAAATGGTTGAAAGAAAAGTCAAAAGATTTATAGCTTGTAAAGCTTAACGAATACATGCACTGCCTTCCTATTCGTGTGGTTCGGCAAAAGAAATTTTTAAGTTAGAACAGTAGTATTACAAAAAAATGACCAAATAGGCAGGAGCAGCATAAATATATTCATTGAGCAGCACGTGGTGCAACAGGGGCGGGGTTATGTTATATTGTCTGTCAATCAAATCCCCGATGCTCTAGCAAATCTTAACATATACATGCATTTGGAGGGGGGGGGGGGGGCAAATACTTTGTTATACATAGCACTAAAATACTGAAATATTGGTGTCAATACAAGTGTAATTACACTAAAAACACGCACATATACATGTACGTTATACCTTGGTACTGTATATGTGCAGGTCAATAGGCGTACGCTTACCTTAGGCTAAGTTCGTCAAGGAATTCGGTAGAACTAACTCAACTAACTACACTAAATATTTCATTTGACTTTTGCCCTCTAAAATATTCAAATAGTGGCGAGTCTTCATAATCGTGACACTTAGGCTAACTGTCCTTATAAACCACTCGCAAGCACAGACTCTGGTACACTTTACAGTCGTGAAGCGCCATGCCGATAGGCGTCGGCGACCATGAGCCTCCGTTTTCTCTCTCTCTGGAGTAATTTCTAGGGTTTCGTCGAAGGTCCGACCCAGGTTGTTACGCCGCCTAGTATCTTTTCTCTTTGTCTACTTCTGCTCCTTTGCCTAAAATCTTTCCTGTGGTTATGATGGCTTCCAGGTTGTCTTTTTTTTGCAGTGTCCGATAAAAGTGTTTTGTCTATGTTATTGTACTTACAAGTCATCCGGTGGTTTCTGAAAGATGGAGTAGGCCTACATGTAAGTTGAAAATACTTTCAAACAAATACAATGTATGTAAGCCTGCTAGTAAGACGTTAAATAGTTTTTGGGTAACTATGCCTTTGTCTCTCAACTGTAAAACTATATCTGCACTTCACTAACACTTTATTAAATCTTTGATGAACATTGATTGATTCATGGGATAAATGTTAAAATAGTTATTGTTAATTATGTCTATACAATACTATACTAATTTAAGATAATTGGATTTGAATGACGCACTAGTAGTTGTTTCTATCTTAATTCTTGTCATGGCAAAGGGCTGATGCGCAACACTGAACCAAGGAACTCTGTCCGGATTGCAAATTATTTTTAAAATAAAACCTTGATCCACTTAGAATTATGCGTATTACACCATAAAACTACGTTATCTAATATATCCACAAATTGTCAACAGACAGTCAACACTCCCGATCTCGTGGGGAGTCTCCCGATTTGGGGAGATATCTCCCGAACTCCCGCTTCAGACTTGAAATTTCCCGATCTATCACGAAATAATAGTGCCGTCACGTAATTCCTTTCTCAGTATACTGATTGAAGTTAGTAATATGCAGTTAACGATGAGAAGAAAATGCCGAAATAAAAACCACGTCGGGTCTTGGTGTGAGTAAGCCCAACCATCATTTAAAGCGCCGCTGCCTAGAAAGCATTTTTGTAATAACAACTTTTACAAGCAAACCTCTTCAGTTAACATTTAAATGAAGAACTTACCCCCCCCCCCTCCGTCTTTGTTCGCCTTACTTGAAAAATGTCACAGTACCTACATGTAGATCAAATTTTGATTCAGAGCGGACCTTCTTCCAAACCCCTGGCTACGTGCCTGGTTATCATAATACTTTCGATACATATCTTTTGATAAAACTCAATACAACTGTTGCATTGTGGGTTCTTAACCCGAAATGACCTCACAAAGCGGGAGGCCCCTTGAATAAAATGTGAAAGAAGTTCTAAAACGTCGAAAGGTAAATTCATGGATAAAAATTAGTAATTTTGTCCATAGTAAAATTTACATTTTCCAGTTCAAGAAGAGTTTGAAGAGTGGCTCGAGCACAATAGTTTTATTTAAAAGACTGGTAAATTTGTAGGTATTGTAGACGCTCAGAGGGTGGGAAATGAGGCTCACATCATAATTGTAACCACTACTTGAGGTGTGCAAGCAGCTGCGCTACATGTATCCCCGATGACAGCGCCACGATGGACACTAAAATATCGAAGTGCGAAATTAACTTGTTTCAACTGTCGATTAAAACGGGCTGTTACTATGACTAGGTTATAAAACAGCTGATAAAATTCTTAACAAGATATATTATCAATATTGTACATTAATGTCAAATACTGAAAGACTAATAATTAGAAATGTAAAGACGTATTTCGAGTCAATTAAAAAAAAACGACCAAGTATAACCATATAAACTGACAGTCAATGAAAATGCATCAGGAAACTTTCTTGTACTTTTTAACCGAGAATCGATTCCAACCATATAAACGAGTACAAGTGCACTTGTTTGGGCTGACCACTCGGATGTTTAAAATTTCCGCTTCAGTGATTTTGTGGTCAGCTGTTACAAAATCATGTGTTTTTCCTGTCTCGTGATTGGTGTGAATTAATCAGGTTCAATATATGGTGATAAATTAAGCCTATTTAAGTTAGTCACAAAATCCAGTGTGACACATGACAAAAAAGTTCAGTAATGCCACGTCTGACACTGGAAGAGCGACTGCGGGCCCTGGGGATGCTGGAGGCTGGGCGGAACCAAAGAGATTTGATCACGTGACATTGCATTTTAATGATCTTTTCTGACCTTTATTTCACCTTGTGTGACTGAATAAGGGGTCATATTTCACACGAAAGCTGTTATTTTCTTAATGTGTTAAAGGAACTTAAAGTATTATTTGATAAGTAAATGATGCGTTTTCATTGACTGTCATTATAGTTTCAAATAGTATTACTGAGAGAAATACCAAAAAAACATCGTTTCATATTTCACAAAAAAAGATATTTGAACGGACATTTTTTGTTTTCTTTATGTGGTGTATATATATATATATATATCCTTCAGCGCTCTCATTTGTATATAACAAGTATGCGAGCGGCTTTATCCAAACATGGGATTGAGGGTGATGATTTTGCAATGCGAGCGCAGTTCTACATCATTTAGCGGAAAATTTGGGGTTTTTTGGGGGGTAAGCGAGGGATTAATTTTGTTAATGAATTGGCATGTCAACTTTATTTTAGTCAGACATGTATAAAAAACTAGCATAAGTGGTTTATAATTGTAGCTGGGAATCCTCGCTCGATTTATATGTAACTTTAATGAATTACTTGGCCGATTTGATTAACTTTCATAATTTTACGTAGTATTTTATGTAGTATTTGAATATAGCAAACTACTAATTCATTTCTTAAAGAAATGAGGAATTTCTTTCCAGTACGTTGAAAAAATGGCTTTTATTGTATAACCTCACCATCCTAATCATTTTAACAATTTGACAATGTAACAAATTGTTCCCTGTATGAAATGTTATGGCCTTAGGGATATAAACATCTCTATCAAATATTCAATAAGACTCATCATCCTAAAAATTATGATGTGACGAGTCGGCAAAGGTTATTATTTACAAACAATTTTGCACAAATTTCATTTGTTGGGTTGCAAAGGGCGAAAACATATAATCATTAGGCGGGGAAAGTAAAGCGCCTCCGAGAAAAGGGCTTATTATTAGGAGTGAAGAAATGATGAGTTAGACAGGTATTTTGAAGTGATAGTAGTTGAGGGGAGGGAGGAGGCGACAGATTTTATGGATAAGATTTCCTACCTTTCCTCTGACTCTTTTACTTTTTACTTCTCTTTCTTTGCGTTTGCTCACGTGCTGACACCTCGAAAACTGGAAATATTCTGCTCACGGGCCCTCTCCCGTGTTTATATCACGTGATATGAGCCAATGGTCTCATTGGCCGATAGGTCGAATTGATTGACACTAGCCGGTGTTGCATAAGTAGTACTCGCCACACATTGTAAAATCTCCCTGCTCGTTGGTGCCGGTGTAACAGGAATGGACGTCCGTTAGGAACCGTAGTCCGCTTCCCAGAGCTTTGTACAGGTGACATTCGTCCCATATGCTAACCGCAATACACCAACTAACCCTAACCTGTACTAATCATATGGAAGCCCGGACTTTCATTCCTAGCTTCCATTCCAGTTAGCGTTACACCTGTCAATCTTTTGCGCGCCAGTTAAGGGAGACCCCGCATACGTTGGATTATAAACTAATTTATCCCATGCAAACGATAATTTTGTTTTTTATAATCTGCACATATCGACTAAAGAATAATTTGCTAGTTTGTGATTATATGATTTTGGTATGGCGTAAGCGGGAGTCGTCATATTCTAGTTGCAGTTTAGATGATGCGAAAACATAATCATTTAAGGTGGGGGAAGTAAACTGAACATGTACATATGCACTCTATTTATCCAACGAAGTGATTTACCTGATGGACAAATTGTTTGAATAATTTGTCCATGTTTACCCGATTATAGGATTGCATCATATGAGTGAAAATGTACACGCTGACAAAATAGTTACGTCTCAGATGTTTGTTCTACTGTCAACTGGTACATAAAACAGTTTTTGCAATGTGCACGGCTTATAATAATTACGCAATGGCGTACGTGTCGGACTTACCTNTACGCCAATCGTTACACCCTTCCACCTATAGCAGCATGTGTTGACATATAAACCTCTTTACTTCAATTCGTTTCTGTACTGGTGCATAGACTGTCATGACCTTGTACAATATAATGTAATAACAACAATACAACTGGTGCATTACCATTCTGTAATTGGTATTTGTGTTCCCAATATGTGACTGAACAAATACCGGGTATATACTGGGGTATCGTTATGTAATGAACTGATGTACTAGTTAAATTACTAATAAAACATTCAAGCTAAGCGGTGAGATATAACTTCATAGTGTTTACAGATTTTTCATAAACACAAATCAAGAAGCATACGGTTACAGTCATATGTAACATAATATGGAGTGTTTCAAATTTACAAGGAAAGGAGGAAGAACTACAATTCCATAGGTAAATAAATAACACATTTACACAGATATAAATACTGTGACATGGTTTAGTCCCACTGCCGAGTCACTGCTCAAAACAGTGTGACCATACACTGACAGTTTTTTTCAAGGAATAGGTTTAGAGTTACCAAATAGAGCAATTACTTCATTTCTTTTCTTTGATGATTTTTAAATAAAATTGGAAAGGGAAACTAAATTATCTTTGCTGGCTCTTAAATACTTTGCATAATTTACTTTGTGATGACCTTTTATCACCCTTTAGTATTGAGGTTTTACTTTAGAAGGTCTCTCGGTCTGTTATGTCAACAGAGCCCGGCTATTATGTTATTGGATCCCCTACACTTAACATGGGCATTTAGGGTGGTGACTGGTATCATTATTTTCTCTTATTTTCTACTAGTATTGTACCCTCTAATACGACAAGAAGCCAACAGTTATTGAAAGTGATATAAAACAATAATACAAACGATGGTAATCGCTTATAAATTTGGTGACATTTGGTAGAGTGCTTTCAATTTTATTGACATTTTAAAATCATTGCAGAACAGTACATATGCACCTTGTTTTGCGTATTTTTGTGTTGCTTTCTAAGACGACATTACTGGCGCATAGAAGTTCGCCTTAATAACTGAAAAGTGTGTTCATTTCCTCTTCGACGTTCAGGCACTAGAGGACCCCTACTGACCACTGAGGAATTTTTGTCGTAGGCTATGGCTACATAACAGACATAACAACAAAAAATGTTGGTGTACAAAAATATTTTGATGATTGGAATATAACATCCGATGCTTGGCAGTAATACTTCATTATATTGATTTAAGAAACGGATTATAAGTAACACCTCAAAGAATGTAACCTACACTGGTCCTAGCAATTTTGCTGTGAATTCATCCTCAATAATAGCTGTTAAACTATTTCAGGCGGCATTGGGCGGCGACAACTAGCTATCTTCGCTGCAATTAATCTCACTGATTTCGTGACGGCGTGGACTATAATGCTGCCTGTATTCACTGGAATGATTCCTCACTGGACATGTCCTGTAACAGGACATAATCTTAACCTCACAAACTCAACTAATAGAATAAACGGCACGTCAACTGTTGGAATCTACAACATAACAATGGCCGATGGAAATTCTTCCCTGGTTCAGCGAGACGTTTGCCAAAAGAATGCCACGTTTGGGATATGCGATGGCATACAGTATGTCTCAGATTTCACGTCTGTGGTAACAGAGGTAGTGATGACTTGATTATTTTTCTTAGTTAAATTATGATGTATTTTCTGCCTTCTCTACAGTGCTATTCAAACAACAATAGAATAATATTTTAAACGCCCATATTAGGCCTCATTATGTCTTTGGATTTTATACATATAGTTAAAAAACAAATAAAATTTTTTAGAGTTAATATAATTTTATTGATGTCAAATGGTCTGACCGTGAAAATATATTTGAAAAATATATCAAATTGAGAAAATTGCACGGCAAAAATAATAATGCAAAGAATAAACATCTTTGAATGGATTTCTTTTGAACTAAGTTGTTTCTATTTTGACATATACATGCTTTGTTTTCAGTGGAACTTGATCTGTGACTTAGATGAAATAAGCGACCTCATCACAACGATCCAAATGATTGGCATTGTTTTTGGGGCTTTTTTGATCAGCCATCTTGCCGATATGTTTGGTCGAAAGAAGGTCTGGATTTCGGTGGTGACCCTCAACTCAATGGTAGGGTTCGCAAATGCGTTCTCTCCATACTGGGAAATGTTTGCTGCCATGCGCTTCTTTAACGGAATGGCTAGCGGGGGTAAGTGTGAAAGGTTGGGGTACATACATGATCAGCTGTTAGTGATTATTTGAATAACTATTTACAAAACGATTTATACTTTAAATGCATTTTTAAAAGAACATCTACAACATCTATTTTTGAAATCGACGAAATGTGACGACAGCATCGTTTTAGTTGTTTTCGTGTGTATCGATTTCAGCCTTTTCATACGTTGGGCAAGTGAGACAAGAGAAATATATTCCCAGCAATGTAGGTTAGGTTTTAGTCGGAGTATTGGTGTTAGTACATAGGACGATTGTCACCTGTACAAAGTAATAGAGAACGGACGACGGTTCATATAGGGCCTATCCTTCCTGTCGCACCGGTTTCAAAAACGAACTTGAGGTCGAACATTTTTCTGCACTTTTAGACCAACATTTTAATATTGGCCTGAAGCTTTAGACACACCTTAGTTTTTAGAAAATATATCTAGACTACTGCTGATCTATCATTGATCAAAACAGTCTATAGATAGATTTTTTATGAAACTGCACCCTAAATTGGCAACAGGAAACTATTAATCACTTTTCTCCATTTTTCAGGTTTGCTTATATTGAGCTTTATCTGGCCGCTGGAATTCATTGGGACGAAATACCGCAGTATATGCGGCGCGGTGAGCTTCTGGCAAATAGGGACCATGTGTCTTGCGCTACTGGCATATTTTGTTCGAGACTGGAGGACACTAGTAATGGTGACATCATTATTCCCAGGGGTACTGTTCTGGATATTGTACAGGTAAACTAACTGACCATGCGAGCTCTGAAAAACCACTAGGGATTATTATGAGTGATGACCTATCATGGAATATCCATATACAGAAAATTAGAAAGGCAGTGGATGGTGATCTTTTTAAGAAAATTAAAAACCCAACTCCTAGTAGCAACAAGAAAGCTTTTTATAATGCACATGTAACCTCTCACCTGCACTACTGCTCCACCGTATGGAGCAGTAGTCAAAAATCTATGAATTACATAAGTATAAAAATGTGCCGCTACATTACTTTTAAATTCACCAGATACAGAGGCACAAAACCATTACTCTTTTTATTTAAACTACAATATTTAAAGATGGCTCAGCATTTTATGAAAGAATAGATTTTAGAAAACTTACTAATATATTAATTTCGAAATGATTTGACACCTAGGTACCCGAGTAAGTTATTTAAAAAATGAAATAGCTAATATTACAAAGAGACCAACCAAATCTTCAACTAAAGAGCAGTTATATTTGCCAGGCGGCAAGCACGTTTTAATCAATGGGCCCGTTTGTAGTTCTATACTTTTAGGAATATAATGTTGATTGTGTCATTAGAAATTTGAAAACATAATTTTTTTAAAAACGGCCTGATTAAATTTTATCAAAATGAGGACTGTTATTGTTGCAATTGTTTTAATTTGTATATATGCTTTTGTTGTTATTTTGAGTCTGAACACAATCCTTTATATTTTTTACCTATTTTAAAGATGTTTTATTTGTATACTTTTTATCACCTCAAGAGAGCCACGGGGAAGATAAATTATATATTTATCATTTTTTTACCACCAATAAGTAAAGTTTAATAAATAAATAAATAAATAAATACCGCTGGGAACTTACCTTCCCTCAGCAGTAGTTCTGTTTTGAATTTAAGTCTTAATAAAAATAATAATAATAACATAAAACATAAATTTACTAGAGCATTTTGACATTCAAACACCAATATTATTGAAGTTAACTTAAAAATACTATTTAATGATTGAAACCTCTTGCCTCTTTTCGTATGCCTAGATTTTTGCCTGAGAGCCCAAGGTGGCTTGCGATGAATAACCGTCTAGAGGAAGCTATGGCTATTTTGGAGGCTATAGCTAAGACTAACAAGAAGCCGCTTCCAGATAAGGACGTTCTGCAGAAGGCAGTAGAGGTACATACTTTAAAACAAAAATAAATTTATAATATTTGATTTATTTATATATAGCACATCAGTGTTAAATCATGTCTGAATACAATAGCCCGAGAGTTATTCTTACCAGTGCCATATTCTCATTATAGAGGCAGTTTTTAAAGTATTACTATGGGCAGAATATGATACAGGTGAAATATATTAGAATGGTTATTCTGATAACTTTAAAATAGATCATTTTCATTTCATTTAAAGGAAGATAAGAATATCGAAGAAAAACTAAAAAAATACAATTTTAGTGATCTGTTCAGGACTCCTACGTCGACCCTTCACACTTTAGTGCTTATGTTTGTATGGTGAGTAATATTTTAGCGCATGCTCACGCGCAGGCACGCACACACATAGGAAACTAAACCATTCACAACCAAACCCCTAAACGCATGGCACTTAATTATAGATGTAGCTCGAGTCAACGTACAACTACATGTATCCAGGAAGTTAAGTTACTACAGATATAAGTACAAATACATGTATCAAGGAAGTTTAGTAACTACAGATATAAGCATAAATACAAAATAAACCCATGGTTTTAAATTGATCGACAACGCTTACTTAATTATTCTTCTTGTTTATAAAATCGAGTATTAATATATTGTTTTAGGTTTGTCTGCACGTCTTCGTACTATGGTCTATCGTTAAATGTGAAGCACATGCCTGGGGACATCTACGTCACCACTGTTCTTCTGGGACTGGTTGAGTGGCCTGCGGTTCTCTCGACTACCTGTCTTAATAACGTGTAAGTAATACAGTGCCTGTTCTGGGGGTTTCAGTTCCTAAGCAAAATATCAGGCCTGCTGCTAAATTGCAGTAAATTTGCTGCAAACTGCAATTCCTTCTAGCAAATTTGCATCAAATTTGCTGAAATATTGTTGCAAATTGCTGCAAACTTTTTCATTTTGCTAAGGGATCTTATTCATTAATAAAGTAGTTGTGATATGACCAGCAAATGTTGCGTCCCCCCCTTTCTGCTTTACAATAATGTTCAATGAAAGAGACATATCGTCTGAAGTACCGGTAGAGAAGTTTTCCCCCAGCAAAATTCGTCAAGATAAATGTTATTTTGCAGCAAAATGCCCTTCTTCATTTCATTTTATTTGCTCAATAAAGTTCACGTGGCTAGATGACTGTGAATAGATGTGCATTTCAGCATTGGTCGTCGACCCACGATGTTTGGTTATAACCTGATTGGAAGCCTTGCTATGCTGTCTGTCATAATCGTGCATCTTTCAGGTAATAGTCATAATGCTTTTAAAATGTAATATTTTTCGTTTACATGTAATTTTCGTTTTCATTTAAATGTATTATTTTTCGTTTACAGCACGTTATCTTAGAAGTAATTTTGTTCACCCTTTCGATACTTTTACGAAATTCACGCAGTGTCCTATTGCATCCTCACTTTACCCGTTCAGTTTTTAACAATTTAAAGGCAATACCATTATATGCCCCCGCACCTGCTTTCAAATTCCAGTGTTTTTCGACAAATAATGAAGTTAAAATGTTTTGGGATGTATAAGCCATATAATTGCTTTATTGCAGTTTATATTAATAAAGTTATCCTACACATTTTACCACCATTCGAATTTTTCCTTGACATGCGTCCCCTTTTCTGGCCTCTACATTTTATTTACGTTAGGAAGCGCCAAACGTAGGGCCTAATAGTTATATTATTTTATATTTTAGGGCAAATGGAAAGCCAAGAGATCTTAATTACAGTTCTTGCGCTGGTTGGTAAAATGGGAATTTCTTCAGCATGGGCTGTTGCTTATCTTTACACGGCAGAACTATTTCCTACGGTTGTAAGGTACGTTGCTCTGCTCTGACCCTCTCTATCTCTCTCTCACACTCACACACGCCAAGACACAAATATGTTTTCTCTTTCTCTCTGTCTCTCTCTCTCTCTTTCACACACACACACACACACACACACACACACACACACACACACACTCACTTATTGGATTAACCGAACAACTAAAGTAAAAGTACAGCAACCGAAGGTTAAATGTAAGACTGCAAAAGGCCAGCTTGAAAGAAATAATTGCATATTTTCATGGATGTCATATATAACTTCAGGAGCATTGGTTGTGGTGCAGCTTCGATAGCCGGAAGAATAGGTGGCGTTGTAGCGCCCCAGTTTGTATATTTGGTAAGCACTATAGCAAGTAACGTTGTTATCCCTTTACACACGCTATCTAGAGCGATGCCACGGTATATTTGCCAGGTTTAGGCCTATATTACCCGGTACCAACTACAAAATGATGCCAGACTTTAACGAATAGGACTGAAGGTGCCAAGGCGAAAAAGATTGTTTATCGACGGATTGCTTTGAAAATTTAGACTCTGTAGGGAAACCATGTACTGGCAGGGCCGTAGCCTCCGGGGGGGCAGGGGGGGCAGCTTGATTGGATTGTTTTTCTTTCTTGATGTCTGTAAATTCGACAGCTTTGCTGTCTTGTTATTTTTTTGTCAAAAAGAGAGAAAATTGATACATTATACTTACAACTTTGATCTCATGTGTTCCAGGCAAAGGTGACCCCAGTGCTTCCTTTCATCTTATTCAGCAGTTTAGGATTAGCGGCGGCTTTCACCGGGCTTCTTTTGCCAGAAACGCGCTCAAAGGGATTGTCGGACGCGCTGCCTGAATGGTCATGGTGCGGTCGTAATCGGACTACTGGCGACGATGACCGCGATGACATAACACGGCACCAAGGCTGAATTGCCGGGATTATGTTGAATGAAGGAAAGATTGCAGAGCTTGGAAAAGCTTACAAGCCTTAATCATTATCCAAAACATTGGTCATTATTTTCGTTTTTGAAACAAAACTATAACGGATGCTGAATAAACTAGTTGTTCTGATATCAAACTGGTGTTCTTAAAAAGGGATAATGATTTGCATCTGACGTCAAAACGCACAAGAAATAAAGGAAAAATTAAAACTTTTTGAGTGAAAATTAATTTGTCCGATTCTGCACTGAACCAACCGGAAATCATAAAAGTATGCGCGTTGCACGTTGGGTTCAAGTTGTTTTAAAAGGCAAAATCGCCTCTGCCGTCCAGATAAAACAGTACTCTGTTAACCAAATGGTCAAAACTGGCAGTGAGACAAAACGATTTACCCAGTAAACTATAGTAGTGTAGTTAGAAACCGTGGTTGGTTACTGATTTCTGAGGTGATTGGTAATAAACGACGAAATACAGAAGCCAGCGTTTATGATACTTAATTTTTTATTTCTCACATACGTGACAAGTCTGTCACCTAAGCAAGAACAGTCTTTGACGATCTACCCGTATCTATATGCTGACACGGGCTAAATGCTATTTTTACTCTACGTAAAACTTGAATATATATATTTGTGTCCGATTTGAAAACAAGAGTAATAAAACTTAATACTGGGACTACATTACTTCTTATAACATTAAAATATTTTACGGGTGGAAAATTTACATAACGCTCGGGCTGGCTGGAAAAGATACATTTTTATTCACTGGGTGTTTGTGTGAAACGTGTGTGTGTGTGTGTGTGTGTGTGTGTGTAAGCGGTTGGGGGGGGGGTAAATAAATCATAAGTTCCACTATTGTACTCATATGCAGTATAGTTGAAAAATGAGAGACAAATGAAATAAAAAAACAAATATTCCATCAGGAAATGAATAGCATTTTTACAGGTGAGATAAATATTTATGTACAATGACAAAAAGGTGACTGGTACAATATGTCTTGTTACCACCGAGCGGAGTATTTTGTGAAGGGCGACTTGATTTACTCTGTTAGATCTACATTGTTGCAAAATAAATACTGAAGATATCAGGGTTTTTTTAAAAATCAAATTGTGGGAGTGAAAGAATGGCGTAATCAGTCGTTTTATCTCTGCGTTTACTTGTTCAGATGAATATATATTCTTACAGCGTTTATTTGACAGCATACATTTTGTTAAGTCTAAGATATCTCCTTGTCCACCTCTTTTTATACAATATGTCTGTCTGGCACAAACTAATTGAACGAATGTAGATAACGAGTAACCGTTTTTTTTTTGCACAGAAAGATAAGGCTGTTTTTCTTTTTTTTTTTTTAGCATAAAAGTCTCTTATGCCTTTAAAATTTGAAATATATCTTTCAACTGTGACTTGTAAAATTCATCACTGGGACGGCACGTAAATTCTGAGAGTCACGTTTCACCTGTGTCAGGCTTAATTTTCATCACCGTATAGTTATGCAGCAAAGGTGAATTATGAGGAGCTACACCCCATTGTAGACCACCGTTGATCGCGGCACTACCACAAACTGTCACTTGTAAAGTTCATCGCTAGGACCGAACATGTTAGTTCTGAGAGTCAGTTTTCACTTGGATCGGGCTTAATTTGCATCACCGTATAGTTAAGCCTCAAAGGTGTATTAGAAGGAGCACCCCAACGTAGATAGTGTAGAGGTGTGTTCAGCACGGCACTACCACACCAATTCATCCACCAACCACAACTAAAATCAACTGCACAGTTACCACCAGGATTCTCATCATTGTCACGATCGAACGTGGTGAATGCCATCCTGTTCGCTGTCCACTCGAGTCGATTTTTGGAGCTGTGAGTCAGTAAATCATTGACGTTTCCTGAAAAATCTCCATCAATTTGTAATCTGTAGTTACGAGCTTCGTCGTCAATTCTGAAGGAACTGTACTGAGCCCAATAATACGTGTTATTTTCACTGAAATAAAGTAGTTTGTATAAAGATCATTACTTTTTTCTACAGACATTTCGAAAAAAAAAAAAAACAAATGTACTATCATAAACCTTCATTAATACACACAAAAGAAAGATGAAGGTGATGTCACAATAAATATCAAACATTAACAGTTCTTAAAGATGAAAATGTCTTTAAAATGTATTTTAAAATGTACTTTAGAAAATGTTTTAATGTCTA